GTAGTAGTAGTAGTAGTAGTAGTAGTAGTAGTAGTAGTAGTAGTAGTAGTAGTAGTAGTAGTAGTAGTAGTGGTATGAGTAGTAGTAGTAACAGTAGTAATATTTGTAGAAGGGGTCAAGGGGCTCCAGCGGCCAGTGGGCGCCAAGTGCTAGGCTAACGCTTCAGGGTGCGGACTGCGGTATCGTTGCACCCGAAGGACGGGGGGGGGGGTTCGCTTCCCACGGTTAGTGTTATCTGTTTACCGAAAACAGGCTCCCGCACAGCGGGCCTTCCAAGGTTGCCGCTGCGCGGGAGCAAAGATGCCTCGGATTCTTCTCCACCAAGTGGCCTTCGGCCGACGCTGTGGCTAATACTAGGGCGGCGCAGACCGAGCTCGGACCAATCGTGGGCTCGCGCTCTCAGCGGACGGGTGGACGTGCGGGCAGGCGCCGATGTCCGCGGAGCACACCGCCATTGATCTCGAGTCCTGCTGCGACCCCGCCCCCAGCCCCGCGACCAGGACCATGTGCCGGTCGGGCTGCTGCACCACAAGGTGCACCCATCCGAGCGTGCTCCCCGCCTCTGGCTGCCGCGACACCTCCTTGACCGCGACGGGCGCCGCCGCCACCCTGTGCACCACAACGCGGTCCACTCCTGGGGACAAGTCCGCAGCCCGAACCACCTCTGTCCGGTCTGCAGGCTGCACTGGCTGGTCCGCATGCATCGCCAGCTGCGTCCCGTCGTCGAGGACGACACTGACCCACCCCGCGGCCAGGAACTGGACCCGCTTCTCGAGCACCCGGGCGTACCTGGTCGACCGCCCCAGCATGTCGTAGCACAGCACCCGCTGGCCTTGCTCGAGGTCCCGGAGCAGGCAGGCGCCGGCCTGGCCCTCGACCCCCACGCTGGCCTCCAACGGCAGGCCCCCCGACCCCCGCGGGGCAGCGCCCCGGCCGGGCTGCGCGGGCGCCGCGGCGGCGGGCTCGCTGGAGGCAGAGCGCGCGGAGGCGGGGCGGAGCGGCGCGGCGCCGCCGCCGAGCAGGTGCGAGGAGGCCGCCGCGAAGGAGCTTCCCAGCTGCGGCACGAGGTCCGAGCGGTCCTGCAGGCACTCCAGGGAGAACTCGGCCCGGACGCGCATGCCCTTCTCCCGCAGGTACGCCAGGTGGAGCAGGCGGGCCTGGAACTCGGAGCTCCGCTTCCCGCTGCAGGTCACCAGCGCGACGCAGGCGAAGAAGAGCAGGTTGGTGGATACCAGCCGCATGTCCGGGCCGCCGAGAAGGTGGGCTGCGGCCGCATACCCGAGCACGGATGCCAACGCAACGGGCACGAGCAACTTCCATCTGACCATCACGCCTGACCCTGCGACACACAAGGTGAGGCCCAGCAGGAAGGGGGCGTCTGAGCCGGCAAGGTCCACCCCGAACAAATAACTCGGATCTTCGTAGCCAAACGCCCGTGCAATGTAATGCCTCATGTTGATGCAGGCATGAACCTCGCACACTACTATAGCAACAATAGCCCCAGCCTCCATGCCACGTGTTTTTATCAGGCCGTGGCCCGACAATGCGATGGCTGCGAGCAGCGCCGACACTTCAACGCAGAAGCACCCAACCTGGAGAGCAAACTGCCACCTCTTCAAATCGTAGGCTTCCTGCGTCTGACTCTCGCTCTCCATGTCACCTGACACGTGGAAGTACAGCGCGCAGGCCAGCCCGAGGAAAAAGACCACGACCACGCGCCGGAAAGAGGACCGCAGCTGCTCGCGGCTGCTGCTCAGGAAACCGCTCTCCACCCGCGGGTCCGCGAACGAGAGCGTCCAGGCGTCGATCTCGCCGTCCGGTCCCAGCCTCGCCGCCGCCGCCCGTGCCAGCCCGCGCCGCAGCCTGCGCACGGTGCCCCGCCGCGGTGGCGTGCCCGCATCCATTGTGACCGGCCGTGGCGGCCCTCCCTCGGGGGATCTCTGTGGGGCCCGCTCCCAGGAGCGAAAAAGGGCGCGAGAGAGTGCAGCTGCGGAGCGTCTCCGGGCCTTCCTGGGTGGTCCTCTTGGAGCTCCTCTGGGCCGTCTCGGGGCCCTCTCGTGTCGTCCTGGAGCCCTCTTGGGCAGCCTTGGGGGGCTTGGGCCGTCCTGGGTCCCTCTCTTGGGCCCTCTGGGGCCCTCTTGGGGACCTCTCTCGGGAAGCTTGTGGGACCCTCAAGGGCCTCTCTCGGGCCGTCTTGAGGCTCTCTTGGGCCGTCCTGGGGCCCTGTTGGGCAGTGTTGAGGCCGTTTTGGGCCGTCTTGAGAGGCCTCTAGTGCCGTCTTGGGGCAATCCTTGGGGCCTCTTGTGCCGTCGTAAGCGCTGCCGAAACCAGAGAAGCGGATACGTAACAAATGCACGTTTTCTAAAAAGGGAATGGGACGATGTTTGCTTATTGGGCATCCTTTTCAATGCCTCTTGGAGCGTTTGGAGGGCATATGTGGCCGTCTTAAGGCCGTCTTGGGCACTCTTCGAGCACTCTTGGGTCGTCTTGGGATCATCTTGGGCCGTTCTGAGGCCGTTTTGGAAGTATATTGGGCGCTCTTATGGCTGTCTTGGGCCGTCTTGGAGCTCTCTGAGGCGCTCTTGGGGCTGACTTGGGCCGTCTAGGGCCGAACATGGCCGAACATTTGGCGATTAGACCTTCTCGGCACGGGGACGGAAAGCGCATGTACTCCTTGAGGGTGCGCGATCGCGTGCTCAGGGTCTTGGAGCCCTGCTGGTGTTAAGACTTTGGTTCGACAAACAACAATCTAGCCTGGAATAATATGAAATTCAATGCGTATTGCATTCCTGGGACTTCCTGAAGGTCAATATGGTGCTCTTTTGGGCAATCTTGGAGTACTTTGGGCCGTCCCTGGGCCCTTTTGAGCCGTCTTGGGGGGCTTGGGCCGTCGTGGGGCCCTCTTAAGGGCCCGTCGTAGGGCCCTCTGGGGGACCTCCGAAGGCCATCTTGGGGGTCTCTTGGGAACCTTCTGGGGCTCTCCGGGGCCCGTCTTGGAGCTCTGTTGGGCTGTGTTCGAGCCCACTGGGGCCGTCTTGGGACCCTCCTGGGGGACTCTTGGGCCGTCTTGGGGCGGTCTCGGGGGCGTCTCGGGCCGTGTTGGATGGCATGAAAGCCGAAAGCCAGCGAGTGCGCCAAAAATGCACGTCCATCTAAATAGATGGGAAGATGCGTGCCTCTTGTCGGCGGCGGGCGCGGGGGGGAAATGAGAAGGGGCGGGACTTCCGAGGCTTCTGAGAAGTTTCCGGACTTCTGAGAGGGCTTCTGAGAAGTTCAGTCTGTATTCGAAAAAGGCTAAGGAGACCTCTCAGAAGTCCCCCGGACTTCTAAGAAGTCCCGCGGCCTTCTGAGAAGGCCTGCTCCTTCTCATTTCCCCCCTGGGCCCGCCGCCGATCTCGGGGATCCTCTTGAATGCCTCTTGGAGCGTCTGGAGGTTCGCTTTGGCCGTCTCGAGACCGCCTTGGGCCGCCTTGGAGCGCTGTTGGGCCGTCCTGGGGTCCTTCTGGGCCTCCTCGGGCCGTCTTGAACGTGTCTTCAGCCGTCTTGGGAGCCTTTTGGGCCGTCTTGGGCGCTCTTGGGGCTGACTTGGGCCGTCTGGGGCCGACCATGACCGACAATTGTGGCGATTAGGTCTGGGACTGGACCTGTCAACCCCATCACACTCCCCCTTGTTGTTTCACCCAACTGACGGTTCGCGACGCAACGCGCGCTTTGCGTCACCTGGGGCCCCGAGGCATGCTCCCTCACACTCCCCCTGGTTATTTTCCCACCAACGGATCGCGACGCTACGCGCGCTTTCCGTCATCTGGGCGTCCGGCTGCCCCAGCTTCCCGAAATTTTCCCTCCCGACAAGCGGATCGCACGAAGGGCGCTTTCCATTATCCTCCGCCCCCTGTTGGCTTGCCATAGGGGTGCACTGTGCGCCAGACGTTCGGTAAGTTTGATAATCTCGTTCTCTGAATTCCTGGAAGGCCTTCTGCCCAGCCGAAGGACGCGCGAAGTCGCAGAAAGACCTCAACTTTCAAACAGATCGCCCCAAGACGGTCAAGATGGCCTGGTATGGCCGCCGAGATGCCTCCAAGACGGCCAAGATGGCCAAAGATGGTTTCCAACACGGTCCCAAGATGTCTCCAAGACGGGCCGAGATGCCCCCAAGATGGCTTCAAGATCCCACCGCGGTCGCGTCGGTCGCGCCGCACAAGGTGGTCGCTGCGCGCGCGAGCGTGCGCGGGCTAGCGCGTCCGCAGAGATGCACCAGCCAACGCCAAGAACTCATCACAATCGCCGCCGCATGGGTTCTTCAAACCAAGTTGCGGGTGGGCGGGTGGGATATTTGCGCGAGCAGTGGAGTTGGCAACTTCAAATTCAGCAGGGCGACCTTTACAACATAGACTGCAGCACACACACACACACACACGCCGCCACATGGATTGCTCAACGTAGATCCCACAACACATATTGCACTGAACAGGTTGCACCACATAGGCTGCACCACATAGATCAATTGCACCACACATCTTGCACAGCATATATTCTCCAATCCACAATAGAAATCAGACCCCCGCGAAGGCGGGAATAGCCGCCCCCCTTAGCATGTGCAATCTACAAGTCTGCCCCACCGCTCATTCAAAATATGACTTCAAGCCGCCCCATCAAAACCAAATTCGCCTCCACCACCATCCCCTGCAATGAACACCATGCGCGCACACTCGTTGATCAAAGATCATCACCTGAATGTACTGCAACCTATGGGATGCAGTGTACATGCGCGCGCGTCGTCGCGCGAAAATGCAGAAACCTTCAAACACCTTCGGTTATGCAAGCATGCCAAATTCGAGCGTCCCGAAACCATTAGCATGGCGAAGGACCCAACCGTATGTAGTTGTGAATACCGCAATTATAGGTATCGAATTCGGTGGAGTTCCCTATGGGGCCACAAAGCGCTGCACTGGGTGGGGGAGACGCATGCGAAGTTTGCCACTGGGGCCTTCGGTGGAGGCACTGGGTGGGGGAGACGCATGCAGACTTTGCCACTGGGGCCTCCGGTGGAGCTCCCTATGGGCCACGAAACGTTGTGCTCGGTGGGGGAGACGCATGCGGACTTTGCCACTCGGCCCTTCGGTGGAGCTTCGCCTGGGCCGCGAAACGTTGTGCTGGGTGGGGGAGACGCATGCGGACTTTGCCACTCGGGCTTTCGGTGGGGCTCCCTATGGGCCACGAAACGTTGTGCTGGGCGGGGGAAACCCATGCGGACTTTGCCACTGAGGCCTTCGGCGGAGCTCCCTATGGGCCACGAAACGTTGTGCTGTGTGGGGGAAACGCATGTGGACTTTGCCAGTGTGGCCTTCGGTGGAGCTCTCTATTGGGCCACGGATCGGTGGGGTTCCCTATGGGGCCACGAAGCGCCGTACAAGGTGGCGCGTGACGCATGCGGACGGTGGCACTGGGGCCGTCGGTGGAGCTCCCTATGAGGCCTCGAAGCGCTGTACTGGGTGTGCGGGACGCATGGGGGTGGTCCCACTGGACCTTCAGTGGGGCATGCGGACGGTCCCACTGGGACCTTCGGTGGGGCTCCCTATGGGGCCACGCGCTGCTGTACTGGGTGGTGCGTGACGCATGCGGGCGGTCCCACTGGGACTTTTGGTGGGGTTCCACATGGGGCCACGAAGCGCTGTACTGGGTGGTGCGTGACGCATGCGGGCGGTCCCAGTGGGGCCGTCGGTGGAGCTCCCTATGGGGTCACGAAACGCTGTACTGGGTGGTGCGTGACGCATGCGGGCGGTCCCATTGGGGCCTTCGGTGGAGCTCCCTATGGGCCACGAAACGCTGTACTGGGTGGTGCGTGACGCACGCGGCCTGTTCCACTGACTGGGGCCGTCGGTGGAGCTCCCTATGGGGCACGAAACGCTGTGCTGGGTGGTGCGTGACACATGCGGGCAGTCCCACTGAGACCTAAGGTGAAGCTCTATATAGGGCAACGAAACGCTGTACTGGGTGGTGCGTGGCGCATGCGGGCGGTGGCACTGGGGCCGTCGGTGGAGGTCCCTATGGGGCCACGCAGCGCTGTACTGGGTGGTGCGTGACGCACGTGGCCGGTTCCACTGGGACCTTCGGTGGAGCTCCATATAAGGCGACGAAGCGATGTACTGGGTGGTGCGTGACGCATGCGGGCGGTCCCAGTGGGGCCGTCTGTGGAGCTCCCTATGGGGCCACGAAGCGCTGTACTGGGTGGTGCGTGACGCCTGCGGGCGGTGCCTTTGGGGCTTTCGGTGGAGCTCCATATAGGGCCACGAAGCGCTGTACTGGGTGGTGCGTGACGCATGCGGGCGGTCCCACTGGGGCCTTCGGTGGAGCTCCCTATGGGGCCACAAATCGCTGTACTGGGTGGTGCGTGACGCATGCGGGCGGTCCCATTTGGGCCTCCAGTGGAGCTCCCTGTGGGGCCACGAAGCGCTGTACTGGGTGGTGCGTGACGCATGCGGGCGGTCCCACTGGGGCCGTCTGTGGAGCTCCCTATGGGGCCACGAAACGCTGTACTGGGTGGTGCGTGACGCATGCGGGCGGTGGCGCCGGGGCCGTCGGTGGAGGTCCCTATGGGACCACGAAGCGTGTGAGGGGTGTGCTGAAAAGGGCGGTGATGATGACGACGACGACGACGACGATGATGATGATGATGGTGATGATGATGACGATGATGGTGGGAGGAGGGAGGAGGTAGGAGGGGGAGGAGGAGGAGAGGAGAGGAACGCGGGGTACCGCCTCTTCAAAACGAGGACCCAACACCACAGGATGGTTGGGAATGAAAAAACACACATGGCTTGCAGCATGAATTTGTCCCCGAAAAACTCGGCGCGTACATTGGCGAATACTAAACAGAAGACAATCGTTTGTTTCAGCATGTTCACCAATTGTGAGCTAACGGACCTCCTGCGCGCGCATGCGGGCGAGCTGGGAGGGTGGGCGCGAGCCCTGTTAAACAATACCATG